CAGCAACGAGATTTCCCCTCCCTTGCCACCGATTGAAAAGCACACACACACTCATTGTCTCTCGCACAGCCGGAACAGCGTGATCCCTTTATGAATCGACATCTTAGTGCTGAAAGAGGGACACGCCGCTGAGAGCACTGAATGCACGCAAGTGCCCAGCACTGCTTACTTCTGGACAGCCCTATTTGAAGTCAGTTATTTGACTGAGAGTTTGTCGGGGAGGGAGAAGGTGGCAGGAGAAAGAGGATCCTCAGGCAAAGACAGAGGTAAGAGACACTCTGGCATCAAGAGCACAGAGAAAGGCAAAGAAGATGCAGGCAAAACAAAATTCAGACCAGAGCCACAACATGCTTTCTGCCCCAGCCTCCAAAAGCAGGCAAGAATTTCCAGTACAGTGGGCAATCGCCCCCCAGTGTACTCAGCCCTCCCCCCAGTCTCTCCCCATTGAACATTTTCCTGAGACATTTTTGCTTTTCATCTGACCTGCGCCACATTTCTCGGTGTTTGGCTTTAGAGTGAGGTAATCCTCCATTTCCTGTCATTAACTGGAAAGCACAAGCGCAGTGTTCAGAGACATCGGCTGACTGGAGCCGACAGATCCCAAATGCCACATGCCAGCACCTCACCCCTGACCACGATCCATGAGGAAAGTACAGACAGGGCATCAGATGGGTCCCTGCTACACTGAAACTGCTTCTGACCACAACCACTTTACTGGAGGACAGAAGCTGGGGGCAAAGGAGAGCACACGGATACCAGGGTGCAGGATGGCTGAAGAGCAGCCAAGGACCTGCCACTGCTCTGCCCCATTTCAGGCCTTACAGCACAGAGTGAGAGCATGCAACAGGGTCCGCAGAAGCGACAACAAAGCAGCATCGAAACAGGCTGCACAGATTTCAGCCTGAAGGTAAAGGTCCCTCTCTCCTTTACCTGTATCAATGTCTTTAATCAGATATTGAGCCATAGGGTTTTTAATGGTGGTAATGACTACCTGTGCCATTCATCCCCCATAAATCAGAACTGATTAGGCTAATGACCACCATTAGCAGACAGCACAGGTCATGCTGGAAGCCTACATCCCTATTCAGCCCAACAGACACTTCTTACAGAATAAGAAGCAACTTTTAAAGTCAATGCTAGCCTGGGTGAAGAGATCTGCCTCCCTGCAGCCCTCCCCACGACCAGACAAAGCCGTCTCAGGGGCTGTCTGCACAGCAGTTTTTCCAGCTGAGCAGTGTAAATATAATCACTTAACTCATTGTGTTGACACTTACCTTAGGACAAGCATCCATACAAGGAGTTAGTTACGCTAGGAAGACTTACAGCAGGATCACAACTAGACTAGCAAATCCCCTCGGGAAAGGAACATTCCTCCCCCATCCCAGATTTTAACCACACTTGGGGCTACGGAATTGCTGGCACCATCATGTTAATGCAAATCCCATCATCACTCATTCCTCCAAGCAAGCAGGCAAAGGAGCTCCCACCGCCTCATTTCAGCCATTCCACACAAGTGAAAGTACCATGAGGGCAAGAGACAGCAGGGCTGGCCCCACCAGCTGCACGTAACCTGCCTGAGGTGCTGTAAGAGGGCTGAATTTTGGAAGGGGAGGTCTCCCTGAACCCAACCAGGTGACACATACCAGAAGTGTCACCTCAGCAGCATAAGCTGATGCTGTGCCCCAGAGAGGTGAGAGGCCAGAGACGAGCAACAGCCCTGGGAAGCAGCTTGCCACATTCCCAAGCAGTGAGTACAAAAGGAGATGTTCTGCCAACTACCTACCAATGAAAGCAATGGCCTCAGGAAAGAACTGCGAGAGGTTCTGGCTCCAGTGATCTGAGATGGGGATCTGCTTGTACTTGAACTCTCCGTCATGCTCAAACATGTTTGGCAGGTTGGGAGTCACATTCAGGATGTATTTAATGCCGTATTTGCCCAGGACGTCCAAGTTGGTCGAATCTTTGGCACAGCCCAGGTACAGGTAAGGTAGGATCTGGACTGGAAAGGCAGGCTGATTGTTAGGGATGGGGCTCCCATCTGACTCCGTGGCACTGCTGGGTTCCCTGTCAGATTCACCATCTGAGCAGTCGGAGCTTATCCGCAGCCCTCCCAGACCAAGGACAGACGCTGGGGGAGAGTTGCTGGGTGAGGAGCTGTCAAGGTTCGTCTCGCAGTGCTCTGAATACTCAGTCTGAAACTTGTTAAATCCACCTGGGAAGGGGGAAAAGAGAGAGGGGAGAGGCAGAGAGAAAAAGATGTTTTATTGTTCAGAATGGGAAATCCTTCTACCTGGACACATATACACGTTACTTAGCAAGTCTTTGCCAGCAAAAACATTGATACACCTTCAACTTCACACCAGGAAAGGCATCCCCCTGTTCCCTCATCTTCCCTGGGCAGACTGCTATTGAGCAAACAGGTCTCAGGAAAACAAAGACTGTTTCTTACGAAGTTTGATATTGTTTGTGATAATTAAGGTCCAAACCTCAATCACAAAAGAAACAAACACCCAAAAATAAAATCAATGGCAAGAGACAATCTCGCCTTGTTCAGCTTCTCAGCAACATGGGTCTGGGGCAGTTTAGGCAAGAGTTATTATGCCAACTAGTCAGAAAAACATAAAAATATCTGCATCTAAAAACAAAGTAAGAACCACCACCACATACCCTGCCAAGGCACTAAAACCCAATAAAATCATTCTCCTTCAAGCAGGAATAAAGGCCCTAAGTTTTGCCAAAGAGTGATCCTCACACTACTAACACATTTTGTGACAAGAGCAGTGTCACAGGTTGGTTCTTCACCCAAACCACAGCAGGCTTGAGGAAGGATGCTTTCAGGTCTGCTCCCAGGCTCTTTTCTCCAGCTTTTCAGCTCAACAGCTCGGGAAGGAAGGCAGAGGCAGGGAAGCAAAAACCTCATGGATCTACCTCCTTTCCAGGCAATATTAAACCAGAGCTCAACCATCGGTATCTGACACTGACAAATGGTTTAATTAGAAAGGCCTCCTGGAAACTTTGTTAGTGGGTTCGGCGGTTGTGGCGGGTCACTGAGCAGGACAGACAGCTCCTGCCACCCAGCCAGCCCCTGCCACATCCATTCATGAAAAAGGCTCGTCCTCATCCTCCTCCTCCCCCCGCACCACCAGACAGCGCCGAGGAGCCATTTTGGAATTTTAATTGGAAACATTTCCCACCGAGGCTCCCGGAAAAAGGCAGAGAAAGGGGCTCAGCTCCTCCCCTGCCCACGGGGAGAGCTTAGGAATAACTTCAAAGCTGCTCCTTCCTCCCAGGGATGAGGACGACTGGGGAAAGAAACGGGAAAACAAAGCAAAGGAGCCGCAGAGCCCATTGGGAAACCCCAAATCGGGATGGGATGGGGATTCACCCACCGGCACAAGCAAGGAGTGGAGGGATGGGGGGGAACGGGATCAACCCCCATGTTTACTTGTGTATGTGTGTCCCTCCATGTCACCTTTGAAGGAGACTTGTGCTGTCAGTACAGCCCTGAAGGCTGGTCCCCAAATTCCTGCCTGTGTCCCTGTCACCACAGGGGCTCTCCCGGCTACCCAAAAGGGGGCTATGAAGAAGCAGCAATGTTTTTGAAAGAGCTGCAAGTGGCAACTTTCTTCACCACTCTCCCCACACACACGCACGCCTCCGCTCCCCTGTTATTTCTGCCTCAAACCCGCCACCCAGCGACCGCACCGGGAGGATGGGAAGGGTCCCGGCAGCCCAGCTGTGGGCTCTGCTCAGCCCGCTGCGGGGGCCTGCTGGGATCTTTCCAAATGAAGGAAAAACACCCACCCCGAGTGCGTATAAT